ACAAATTCTATCAGTATGTATGAGATACGTAAATGGAGAAAAAGAAATTAGAGAAGTATTTCTTGACTTTTTAAATCTTGACAGGATAACATTGGGAAAATGCAATCTGTAAAAAAGGTGTTGCCAGCTATATTTTAAAAGAATTACGAAAAGCAATTATAACATATTGTGGCTTACATAATTTGAATTTATCAATTGCTGCAACATCAAAAATACCAATCATTGATAAAATTTTGGAGGTTTACAGAAATATATTCATTTATTTCAATACCTCTTTGAAAAGAGAGTGTTTGCTGAAGCATGCTGCAGAGATCCGTTGTAAATCAACTGAAAGAAAAAAGGTTTTGATAGGGATGTGCAAAACAAGATGGTCAGAAAGAGATGCCGCATACGAACACTTTTTTTTAACTATATCATTTATGACAGAGCCATTAGAGATTATTTTAGGAATACACTCTAATATAGAACAGTTCAATATTGAATTTAGTATGTATTGGAACCCACAATAAAAAAGAGAGGCCAACTCACTCCTTAATGCACTCACTTAGTTCGAATTCATAACTGGTATTATAACTTTGTACCGCTTACTTCACCCGTTGTCGTATATAACAGAGAGATTACAAGGGCGCACAACTGATATTGTGTATGCATACAGTAACATTCAAGAAACAATCGACGAATTGAATCATCTACGGAAAAATATTGAAAAAGAAATTTACGCAATTTACCAACAAGCTACTCGTATGGCAAGTAAATTATTTGTAGAACCAACGATTTCCAGAATCACTATGAGATAGGCCTACAGAAATAACGTACCTGCAGAGAGTCCCCAAGAATATTATAAACGGGCCTTGAATGTATCTTTTCTCGACACCATCATTTAGAAATTAAAATACGATTCTAAAATAAAAATTGCATTGCTGCTAAGTTTTTATGCTAGGTTCCCTCGATAATTTGCAGTGAGGAGATAACTGCTTTCCAGGAGTTAATTGAAATGTATAAAAGTGATCTTCCAAACTCAAAATGTTTTGGTAAAGAAAATGGTCTGTTATTAAACCTAGGAATAGGTCTAATACTCTAGCTAAAACCATTAAAAGCTTAAAGAGATTAGAATATTGATAAAAATCAATATTCTAATCTCTTTGAGCTTCTAAAGATCGGATGTACACTACCTGTAACGTCCGCAGAATGTGAACGCAGCTTTTCAGCAATGCGAAGATTAAGAACATGGTTGAGAGCCAGTTGATTATCATTTTTGGTGATCTGGGTCTTCTTGTACTGTTCATATAATGACTCATGTTTACAAGATGTCTAAAATATAGACAAATGTGTAATATAAGTTTGTCTTTTTTTGATATAAAAAAAATTAACCCAAAGTCAAATAAATGAACTAAAGAGCACTGTATAAATAATAGTTATTGTGAATGTGAAATTGAATTATTCACTTACTTCGTTACACCGTCCTGAAGTTACACCGTGTGTTTCTGTAATAGTAGAATGACAAGTAATACAATTAACTGACCATTTATCTCGATTTATAAGAAAATTTTTGTATCCGAATTTGATGACTGATCGCAAATCTTTTTCTATTAATATATATTTTTTAAATTTAAATGAGAATAATTAAGTTATTATTGGCTTATTGGTTCAAAGTTGCATTTTATAAATAAATTTCTTTTAAAAAAATCTAACAAAAATACATTACTAACAACTTTTATGAACAGGTTTTGATAAGTTGAATAAAAACAGTATAAATAAATAAAAAAATACTTTATAATAAATTATAATTTAAATATAATAAAAAACTATTTTAATTCAAAAAACATTTTAAGTTCTGTTTTTAATTTTAAGAAAAATTCGCGTGTTTAAATTTTTTTCAAAATGTTGAAATGTTCTAAAAAACGTTAGATTTCAAGGTAAACAAAAGCAAATCTTGTAAACAAAATTAATTATAGCTAAATTTCTGAATTCAATAAGAAAAGGTTGACGGCCAGAACAAAAACGTTTAAAGTCAAGACCGAGACCAAGGCCTTAATTTTTGGATTTAAGGCAAGGCCAAGGACTAACAAATCTGCATGTGAGTATTTACTTTTATCAATTCCATTTAAAATTTCGTTGTGAAATTTGAGTACAGCGTGTTCTGATGTGTGGCATTTTTTAAAATATATTATTTGTTATATTTATTATATATTTTAAACAAAGTAAAATAGAAATTGGTCAAAAGTAAAATTAGAGTTTTTTAATCCGGTTGTAATTCAACTTGTAATTCAACTAATTCATTTGTGTATTAATAGAAAACAAATTTACTTACGCGCGTTAGACTTTTTACATTGTTTAGAGTTTGTTTTTTCCCTAAAAAGTTAAACCAACTTTAAATTTTTTGATGCTAAAATTTTTAATAAAATTTTGTTTTTTTAAATATATTTGGGTCTAGTTTTGTATTGGAGTTTGTTTTTTCCCTAAAAAGTTCCTTTTGCTCTCGCATATAGGGGCTGTCAGTTGGTTGTTCTTTTTTTCTATACCCCCTTCAAAAAGATGTCATAAAATTGGGACCCCCTCACCTCTCTTTATTTTTAAAAACAAAATTCGTTCTTAATCTAGACGTTTTTATTAAAACTTTTCACATGAAGTAAATTTTTCTTATTGGGTATTTATATAGCTTATTAGGTATTTCCACGTTTGTTTCACTTGTTTGTTCTTGTAGGTCCCCCTGAAAAAAAAAGTTATGTTATATTACTCATATTATATATAAAATTTAATCAAAATATGTCATTGGGACTTGCCTCACGCTTCGTCCATCCAAGGATTTTTTGAACAATCGTTAATTGATATGATTGGACTAGGGCAGTCCGATTCAACTGAAGTAGTTGCATCATTTGAAATATTAAGCCATCTGTTTTCGATATCGACCTCATCAAACTATTTAGCAAATGCCGCGTTCTCTTTTATAGCAATTACGGCCATTAACTCTCTTTTGCATTTACCTCTCTTGGAGGTAATGCAAACAGGTTGACTTGCAAAAGGTAAAAGCCATTCGGTTAATAAAATTGGAATGAATAATGCTGACATGCTTTTTTAATATGTCTTGGAAGGCAAAGTAGAAGTTACAATGCTTACAGAATCTCTAAGATAAACTTGATTGCACAAAGAGACAAAATAAATTGTAAGGAAGAAGTTTGAATGATTTCAATGATCAAGGAATAGTGCTCTAAATATTGGAGGCGATAAGAAAAAAAAAATAGAAGGAAAACGATTCTTGCTGGTAACGTCTGAAACGACTACAGCTTTCAAACCATTTTCTGACTGGTAGGTTGGAATAGGTGGAGGCAGAAATCGACTGGTAATAACATGGAAACAAGAGCTCCATTTCAAAGAACAGCATTCGGGGTCCTCACATTTTTCACTTTGCATGAAATATTGGCAGGCGTGCACATGAAAGGCTAACTATTCCTGATCCTTCGATTAGAGATGACGAGCATCGAGCTCCGTCTTGCCGTCTGGATCAAAATACTCAAGCTGCTGATTAAGGAGAGTCTCACAGAAGCATTGAAAAAACTTGGAATGCTTTGCAAAATGACTTATTAAAAAGACTTGTAGATAGTATGCCTTCTAGATGCGCAGAAGTTATAAGAAACAAAAGATAGTCAATTAAGTACTAATACAGCTAAAACTTAAAAAAATACTTTACAAATCCTAATTTTACGATAAATAAAAACATTTCGTTCCTTTACGTTGACTATATAAAAACACATGTTTACTTTGTTTTCCATGTTATTTAAACTAAAATTAAAAAATGACCGTGATTTTACAGAAGCATTTCAAAGTATAAAAACATAAAAAGGATTAGAATTTATATTAATCCTATACGTGAACGACCTCAATTAACTGAAAATCAAATTTAAATTAATTTATTTTAATCAATCTCATCCATAGTTTAAATTAGACATTTAGATATCAGATGAATAAATTCGGTATGCATGTTACCAGACCCGTCATCCTGGTCCCACAGCGAAATAACAGTTGTGGTCTTTACAAACTCTTACCCCCTCTGTACCAAATTTTTTTTTATCTTTTTTATGGGATACTTAATAGAGCAGATAAACTTTTTTTGTCCGCTATTAGTACCTGTGGCAATTCTTCGCTCTTTTTGAAGTTTGAAAAGGAACTTTTTCTAGTACAATTTGTAACAACAGCAGAGAGAAATGTCCACAGAATAAGATTGACAATTATGGAATTAATTGAAATTTCTTTGTTCAAATAACCAGAAGTAAATCCATGTGAGTGCGACAGAATCAATATCTAGATAAAAGGAACAAAGAATCCAAAACTAGAGAGAAATAAAGCATAAATTTGTCTTTGTCTTTCAAGATCAAATAAAAGTCGATTGATGATAAGGTTTACCTTAACAATCGTTTTTTTCCCCACAGTGAAGTCTGATACCTTGATAGACATCAATTCGTCTTGTAGACGTTTGCAAGCTCAGCAGAGCAGTGACGGATCCAGGGAAATGATTAGAATTAAAAAAGAATTTTGGTTTTGTCGCAGCAGCAGAGTATTTGTTGGTGCCCAACAATAACATAAGTTGTTTTCAAATTTGACTAAACTTGATTAAAGCTCTTGAACAAAAATAGACAGAGAGCAATATAACTCATTCCACTATCAATTCAACTTCAATTACTTAAAGCATTTTGTTTACTTTGTTGAACCTTTCCGTATTTGTGCGTCAGGTTTAAATCGGTGTAAAACTGAAGTTTGTAAAATAAAAAAAAATTGGTTCCTTCCCGGCTAACCTCTCTAAATGCCTTGGCCCCACCGCGGCTGCCTAGGCTGGACATGTGTAAAAACAGGCCAGCAATTTACTAAGGTATTCATATTTTTTTAATGAATCTATAAACAATTTTATTCATTAAATATAATAAGTGCATTTGACATTATCGCTATGCGCATTATATTAAAGCTTTGTAGCCATTTAAGGAAGAAGTTATGAATTAACTTTTTTTTAAAGTTCGGCGGATTTTAAATTACTTTTCACGGTCGACTGATATAGTGGGAGTTTTTTTTTCTGTGTTTACAGTTACTTGTTCATAAAAACTTGGGTCAATAAGAAAGCTCTTCTGAAGATTAGCTATAATGTCTGAAGATGGTTCATATACCCTATGTAAGAAATAAAAAATGATTCAGTTCAATAAGAATATTTTATGTTATTAGTTTGTTTTTTTTTTAATAAAAAAAAGGAAATTGCTATAATAATATATTGTACTTGTGGATGCATTTAAATGATTTCCAGATGATTTTGAAAAAAAGAAAGAAAATCATCCAGATCAACGGATGGTTTTCTTTCTTTTTTGTTCTTTCTTTTTTTTAATTTTTCTTAATTTTTTTTTCTTAATTTCTTCCTAATTTCTTTTTTCTCTATTTTTTTTGATAAACATAATTTCTAATTTCAGTCAATAAACATAATTCAAAGTTGATAACTATTTTCATGAATACCAAAATCAAATCAAATTTATTAACAGGCTTAAGGCCCAAAATAATAGGGATACAGTTAGTAAAATAAAAAGAATAAAATAATTTAATATGAACACTTCAATGCACTAAATATAAACAAAAAAGGTGTCATTAAAATAGCGCAGCTTTTTATTTATAGATCAATGGAGACTGCAAGAACCTGTTCATAAATAATGTGACTAACTTATTGCTTTAAAAGTCTCTGATTTTCAAGTCATTTTAAGTAAGTCTAAAAAAACCCTGGTCAAAAAATCTTTTTATCTAAAGCATGATTAGAATAGTTAAACTTGTCTATTTTTAATCAAATATTGTTCCAATTTATACTTTGATATGAGTTAATAATTGTAATCTTTTATATTTAAAAAATTCTTTTAAAAGTTTATTTATCAGACATTTTTAAATACAAATCTTGTATTGTTAACTAATAATCTCTGTATATTTTTAATATTAATGTTTTTTATGTGCTATTAAGTTTTATGTTAGGTATATAAAGTATTTTTTTACTATTTCATTGAAATTAATAGATTTTTTAATCTTTTGTTTTAATTAAAAATAATGATTTGACAAAACAGTCAACTAGGCACTTTAGATGTTTGAATGTTGCTGTTTTAACACTGTCCCTAATTACAAGTAGTTTTATTTTGTTTAGGTTAAAATCAATTAATTATATATTTTTTGAACAAGTTGTTTCAAGGATATTTACAAGTTACGTAATGTTACAAATCTAAATTAAACACCTAAAACACTGATCTTTTTATATACCACTAATAACAACATTAACAACAATTCCTATAATATTTTACAGTTAGGTTAAATTTCAATTAGTTATAATTGGTTACAAGATTAAATTCTCTAATTTTTAATTAAATATTAAATAAATAAACTTAATAACACATTAAATGTTTGTTTATCTTTGTCGTATTGTTAATTATCATCTTTTATTTTATTTTTATTGTAAAATAGCTTTGTCTAAAGTGGTTACTTTGTCGCAAAAAAAAGAGTTTTAATTCACAACATTATGTCTCAAAGTTTAACTGATTGAGATGTAATGTAATAATCAGAGACTAAGTTACGCCTTAGATATAGATTTTTTTTTAACGTTGCATTATTTTATGTCTCAATTGGTTACACTTTAAAAATTAAAAAATATATATTGAGGCATAATGTAACATAAAAAATATATATTTAAGACATATTTTAATAACATTTTATCTTTGAAAAGTTTTTTTTATAAATCTTTTTTTTTTTTTTTTTTTTTTTTTTACATCTTTGCTCCCAACAAGGCTGCAAGCAACCACTAATTAGAGTTGGAAGTTCCTGGAAGAGAAAAGATGAAGATTATAGAGCCAGATGACTTAAAAGATTGCAAATTATATGAATCAGGAAAGCAAGACAAAGGAAGCGAATTCCAAAGTACTGATGTTCGAGGAAAAAAACTCAAGAAATTTGAGTTTTTGGTGCACTTCAGAACAGTCACCGAAAAAGGATGAAACTTTATTGAATGACGAGTAACACGAGAATGAATTTTAGTAGATGTCACAAGATATGCTAGCTCTTTAGGGCAGTGTCCATTATAGTATTTATAGAAAAGAGAAAGAGAAGCAACATTACAACAATGTGATAATAGTTGGAGGTTGGCTGCAAGAGCAGGTCCAACTATGTTTAGTTGTAACTTAAAAATGCATTTAAACTATGTTTAAATGCATTTTTGCACCTTGTCTAAAAGAAAAAAGGCATCATTAGAAGATCCACCCTAGGTATGGCAATAGTATTCCATACAAGGCCGGATTTGAGATTTATAGAGATAGGAGTACAGGCCTTGTGATGAATAAAAACTGTGCGACGCATAAGCACGACAAGATTTTTGACGTCATTAAATTCTTTTTATTTGATTTTCATATTTATCGACATTAACTGCACCAATTTACTTAATTACCGCAAAACTACTTTAAATCATTAATGTAGAAATGTTATTATTTTAAAATGTTTTGGAATGTTTCTTTTTTTAAAATGTAAAAACATTGGTTTGTTTTCTCGACGTTTGACGCGTTTTGTCTACTAAACGAATAAAAAACATTATAACTAAACATTTAAAAATGATTATAAAATATGCTAATATTTGATTTTCTCAAATATTGTAATTTAAAGTTTTTCAAATAATTATTTTTTCTTTTTAAAAAGTCAGCGATTAATAAACTGGAAATTTTAATATTGTACGATTAAAAACTGTGCAATAGCTAATATTTTTACTAGCGATTTTATATAATATTTATTTATTTATTTTTATTTATTTTCATAAAGCGGTTGATAAGCACAATCACTCATATTACTAAAAAACTTTAACGAATGTTTTGAATAGATTTTTAATGTTTACAAGAAATTTTATTTTTGGTAAAATAAAATAAAATGTTAGAATAAAAATCTTATAGGTATAAAAGACATATTTCAGCGAAAAAATTATTCTTAAAAATTATTCTTAAAAATTATTCAAAAAACTATTGACGTTCTATTTTTCAGCAGCTGTTCTTGAGCACGCTTCGTTGGGTTTCAGTAACTTTTAACAAAAAAGTGATTGTTATTATTTAAGTAATTTTTTTCAAGTTACTTTATACAAAAATTTTAATAGCTGTACTTTTTATAGAATCAAGTAGAATATGTTTTAATATTAATCCTTTTATTTTTTTCATTTGCACTTACCAATTTTTAAAACGTTTCCTCGAAATTACTCTTAAATACTTTAAGAGTAATTAAGTTAATAAATATTTTTATAAATATTAATTAAGTTAATAAATATTTTTAAATCGATGGAATAATTTTAAAACCTAACAAACCCCCATAAAATAATTATTTAAGTTAAAAATCTAAAACTAAAAGAAAGTATTTTTGTTCAATTTTATCGACAACTTTGCTATTGCTGAATAATTTTATTAAAATGTTAGCTTAATTGTTAGTTAAATGTTTTTAAATGTTAGTTGAATGTTTTTAAATGTTAGTTAAATGTTTTTTTTTTAATCTGAATTTTTTCTACTTGTAAATAATGAGCATATTTAATTATTTTGTAATTCAAACTTTTATATCAACTGCGTGCGGTTTTTAAAATACTTTAATAAATGTTAAAATATTCGCGAATTACTTCATTAAGATTCCGCTCAAAAATATCTTTAAATATACTCAAACAAAAAAATTTTTGCTCGACGCAAATAGCCCTAGCTACACGCAAAATCGCTCTTGGATGACATAAAATTCACATCGCCCGACGCTTTATTGCAAGGCCTGAGAGTAGAATCCGCTAATTTTGCAATGGATTTGATATATAAAGGTAAGGAGTTATAGAGGCCACATACCTTGGCCCTCAAAAATGAAATTATTTCACCAAAGAACATCATCACCTGCTGCATAAAAGGGTAAAATCTCTGGGTTCATGTAAGCGTTATGTTGTCTTTATTGAGCTGAACTTGACTTTGCCTCTATATGGCAATTAGCTGGAGTAGGATAAACCACAATACCACCAATTAATTGTATATTTTGCACATTCTAAAATCCAGTGCAATATCCATATATATATATATATATATATATATATATATATATATATATATATATATATATATATATATATATATATATATATATATATATATATATATATACACACACACACCTGTTTGATGGCTATATCAGGTAGAATCTTTAATAGTATTAATAGTAGTTATTATTAATACTATTAAAGATTCTCCAGAAGTTACGAGAGCCTAATTTTTGTGATGAAAAAACAAGATTTAATGATCTGACAATAGCGAGTTTTGGCGTTAGATAAAACCTTTTTACAATGGTTCCTAGCAGTAATAAACAGACATCTGTTTTCCAGAGAATTGTTTTGCTGATAGGTATGGAAGTAATGGTTTCGATTGGCAATTGCAGCAGCGCAATGTGAGGAAAACCATGGAGAAGAGTGAGGCTTGACCTGGAAATTGTAAGATGTACCGTGATAGAGGGATTCTGATGATAAAGAAGAATGAGATAATAGTTTTAGAGAGACCAAACCATGATCAGAAGCACCTAAGGGTGAGTGTGGAGAAACTGAGCACTGACTAGGATCATCGAGTAGAAAAGGAAAATGATTTGGGTTGTCTGGAAAGCAAGTTGGAAAGTCGAAAGCAAGTTGGAAAGTCGACTGTTTGAGTTAGGGATTGAGAAAGGCAAAAGTTGTGGGCTTAAATGCCTGCAGAGTCACTGACACTAGACCCAAGCCATTCAGTGTGATGAACATTAAAGTCACCAACAACAACAATATTGGCTGATGGATAAAGAATGAGGGCTTGGTCAATATGATCAGAAATAACATCAAGAAGAGTGCAGTCTTGAGATGAAGGAGAGCGATAAAAAATAAAGAGAAAGGTGATAGAGTGAAGTGGTGCTAAACGATAGCACATAAAAGAGTAGTCTGTGGATTCAAACCTAGTTTCCCGACAAATGGGTGAATTCTTTATTGGAGTCTTTACGAATTAAAGGAAGATAACCATCAACACTAAGATCACAAGATGAGACAGCTGAACTCAAATTAGTCTCACAAAGAGCAAGTAGGTCTTGTGAACTTTGCAAGAGATAAGACTCAACAGAAGAAAAGTTACTTCGAAGACCACAAATATA